ACATACAACAAGAATATATATATATATATATATATATATATATATATGCATACATACGGATCAACAACAGTAGGAAACAGGCACACGTTACTTCACACAGCACATTGAACAGTCTCATCAAAGCTACGCACGATCCACGGTGTGGGAAACGTCTGGGCGCGATATCGTTTGGATTTAACAACGGGAGACAGGCCAAACTTCCACACGTTTGGTCAGGACCTCGTACGCTACAACTGCGTCCAGGGAACCTCCATATCGTCTACTACAACTTACCAAGTGAAGAAGTCCTTCCATTTTTCTTGTATATCCCGATTGTAATCATGTGTCTTTGGTAGTCACCATACACAACTCATTTATTATTTCAAAAAAAAACTGGCCAGATATTCGTAGTATTGTGCCATAAGCCAGTTTAAGGGTGAACGAAACGTTGTGCGTAAAGAAAGAAGTATCAATGCAAGCTGATCAGTTTAGTTGTGTGAATTGTTTTGTGCCCGCATTGCGGTCTTTAAAATGCCAATGAAATCGTCCAACTAGATCGTTTGCTTTGACTCACCAATTTATTAGTGTTATTGGTTTTACTCAAAGTAGTATCAGTAGGCGAACAACACTAAAATTAAATGAGTTATGTGTAGTGACTACCAGAGATACATGATTATAATTGGGATATACAAGAAAAATGAAAGGACTTATCGTGTTCTTCACTTGATAGGTTGTAGTAGACGATGTGGAGGTTTACTGAACGCAGTTGTAATGTACGAAGGTCTTGACCGAGCGTGTTGAAGTCTTGCCTATTTCCCGTCCTTCAGTCCAAACGATATCGAGCCCAGACGTTCCCCACACCGTGGGTCGTGCGTAGTTTTGAATAGACTCTTGGTGGTTCAACCCGAGTTGTCTCAGTGAGAGCCAAGAAGGATGTTTCTTACAAGATGGAAGCTGAGCGGGATATAATGGAGTGAGTATCATGTAATTGTCCAGTCGTGTGGTTAACCTGATTATTTTGGTATTTCTCCTAATTTATCACCTATACCGATCATTTGTTTGACGGTACTGTAGACTACTCTGCAGTCTCAACTGGAGATGTACTTTATTCACCATTTCAATTATCTCGGGTTATTTGCGCTTGTATGTATCTATCAAAATCCTGGTGATTGATTATCAGCCATATTTGGTGCTACTTGACTGACTCTTCACCTGAGTTACCAACACCTGAAAAGGCTTGTCCGGTAACTCACTTTTTGAACATAATTTTTGTAATAATTTTAATCCTAATGTTCTTTGTTTTAGTGCCGAACCTGCTTGGTTTGAGTCAAATCCCAGACCCCAATCGAGACATTTGTGGAAGCAATCCTTCTGCCCAAAATCTGCAACAACGACAAAATTTTTATCCAACCAGTCAAGGTTTACTGCATCCGCGTGGCTCAGCTGAACAGAATGCTGAGTTCTTGTCGGAAATGCTCCAATCCGAAGATGGCGCAGATGGCCGCCGCCCTTTTCGTATTGACCTGAGTTACACAAAGTCACCGACAATGAACGTATTGTTAGGAGGGCCGAGTCAAGGGATGAATAACACGCAGAAGGATGAACTAAACCTGGCCATTCTAAGTGCAATCCGGGAAGGTACAGCTGAGAGTGAAACCGGCACGCTAGTTGGACAATGGAGTTTACGCAGCGGTGCCGATACCCTAGATTCACAGATGATCAATCAAGGATGTGTTACTTGCCTCCCGGGTCGTGATTGGCTTCGTCCAGCAGGTTGGTTCCAACCACGTGCGGGTGTGAGCAACAACGGACTAGGCAGTACCAAAACGAAATCCAGACCATCAGCTGAAAATACACCGGGGAAATTGGACGAAAGGAAGCCACACACTACGAAGCGTGCGAAATCGCATCACCACCGGCGACATCACCAACCGCAACCTCAATCAGTAAAGAGACCTGAGAACACTGAAAGGTCACACAGAAATCACTCCGAACGTCATCACCGTCATCCAGATCTAGGTCCTCTTGAGGATCACAAGCCACGTGCTGCATCGACGAGTCATGCGAGAGAGAGTGTCGCTCTGCCATTACGTGGTGTTAGTGGTAGTGTGCTCATTGGCGCAGCTCCATCCTCGCCATCTTCTCTCGTATCCTCTGACAGTTCCTCGGATCATGGACTTGTAACCTCCAGAGCTTCGTTCTCTTCCTCCTCGTCAAGTTGCTCTGAACCACCAAAGAAACCAACCGTCGCCTGCGATTCAGGAGATGAGTCATGCAGTTCAACGTCCAGTTCTACTAGTTCCATCAATTCCAATCCTGAAGGAGAGGAGTTTGACGAAAACGGAACAAAGAAAACCACTTTTCGCTTCCCAGCTGCACTCTGTTCTGCAACCCAAAATATGTCTTACAAACCTAACTCGAAAGCGCCCTTGACAGTCGTCTCAACTAGTGCACCAACTAGATCAATGATTACGGGATCAGCCTCCCGTAAGTTGTGGCCTCCTAATGTCTTTCCTCTGAGACCATTGTTGGCTGGATTTAATCAACACCATTACCGTCCTCAAGTGGAAATGAAGTAAGTTTTACCGGGTGATTTCTACTTCCCTTTTTGTGGATACCTCGTAGGTTTTACTTACGTAGTGTCACATACTTCTATCATAGCACGTGGACGGGTTTTTGTGAACACTTATCTGTTAAAAGCCATAGCGCGGATATTTGCAGTCGATTTCACCGGGCGTCAACCCTTCGTGTTTATAAATGGGATGAAAACCACTTTTGATCGAGATATTGCGATGTTTGAGGCAGTGAAACTTGCGCGCGAGATTGGACTCTTTAACGGCCAATGTGGCCTAAGAATAGCTATCTGCAGGGTTATTCTCAGAAAAAATCAGTGATTTAGTTAAGATGTTGTTATTCAATGATTTGCTGAAAATGGGTCATCCTGAACTGCGGTGTAAAGATACAGGTGGTACAATAAAAATGAATCGCCACATCAGAACATTCTCCAAATTAAATGCCATATTTGCTCGGAATTTTTTTCACTACAATCAGTCCTTTCAATGATATTGATCATATTTCTGATGTCGAAGACGAAAAATGGATCATTGTCTTAGCGAAATACACTCATTTTCAGACAAATTTGATTTTGTGAGACTTACCTGTAACCCAGCTGAATCTCTGGTTTACGATATTTTCAAGCAACTGAATGTAATGCACCGGGCCGCCTCATGTTTCAGGCAGTACAATATTCGAGATGTCGCGATACATGTATGGACGTAGTACACTTTTCGTAAAGTTTCTGAAAACTCTTCGATAACCCACGACCGGTCTCACCCTTCTTGGGGCTCATCATAAAGGCGCAGTCCCCGAGTTTCCGTCATAAACGAGAGATTTAGCTGCGTTCCGGATGAGTCTCTCAAAACCTCTTTTGTTTGCACTTGAGTGCATTTCGCTAATTTCATGCAATGTGGTTTCAAGTAGAATACAAATTTGACGGAAACTAGGGGACTGCACGTACATGATGAACCATAAGAAGGGCAAAACCGGTCGTGGACCGTCCAAGAATTTTCAGTAACCTTATGAGTAGTATATTGGGCCCTTTTCTTATCGTCATCACACACTTGCGTTTTGCCTACCTGGTCCAGCTTCCTATTTGCTGGTGGCTAACTTATGATGCACTTAGATATTGCTCATCAGACTATTTTTTTTCCTTATCCCTTGCTTTGACGATATACGAGTGATGCAATAATAAGGATAATCGTTCAGCTGTAACACCCTTTCGGTGCCTAGCCGCCATGCCATCCGAAGGAAGAACGAGAGCTATGATTGCCGAAAACTAGATGGTGGAATTTGAGAGGCGGAGGTTGGGCTCGAACCACGTACCTTCTGGTCAGTAACTTCGCACTCTAACAACTGAGCCATCTCGCATTAATTGGGTTCCGATGATTTTCATCTAAAACATCCCTTGCATTCGTAAATTAATGATTGATTTCTACTTCGTGATTGAATGGTCAACCAACAGGCAAGTGGGTCAACAAGAACGATCATTTGGTGTAAATAGTTTGCTCTCCGTATGAGGGGCATTCACGAAACTTTAGCGAATAAAATGGCGCCAGATTGCTGTGGGTTTTGATAGCTACACTTCAGGAGTCTTCAGGTTGTTTCCTTGTAATGCCCAGTTTCACCGACTTTCGTTACCGAACATCGTCTTCCCCGGAATAGAAACGGTTTTCCAAAAGGGACTAAAAGTTGTGTTCGCATGTTATTCACTCAACCTTTACCGAAAAGCTTTGCTGTCTGACCACTTACCCGCTTATTGGTAAATTGTATAAAGACCATACTTATATCTGGCATATTCCTACAGTATTTTAACTAGTAGAAGCTAGCATCTTATTGCTGTCCCACTGGTCGCAGAACCTCACCTGACTTTACTTCAGTTTGCAGCAAAAGGCTGATGAACACTGTTTATCATTTGCCTCGCAGACTCAACCAAATTGTCATCTCATCCGGCTCATCTAACTGCAGCGGTAAATTTTACTTGAAATTTCAGTGGGCGCTTTATCCCCACATCCATTCAATCACTCAGCTCGTGGACAGTAGTCAAACTTTCCGCCGGCTTTTGACATTGGCATACAGATCGCTCCTCAAAGATCTGGCTTGATAAAGATTGTATCACCCTTTTGTTTTCGCAAACGAGTTCAGACAGTCGAGCACCACTACAAGTTCCTGTCTTCGCTTTTGCCACATTTATGATACGTTTAACGGCTGTCTGTTAGTCGTCTTGTCCTGTTTGTGGTTTAGCTGACTGAGAAAACGACTGCGTTTGACAGTTAAAAAGTATAGTTTTCAAACGGACGTATTAGTAGGTAAGGCTCAACCGATTTAGTGAATTCCGGTAGAATGTTTTTATGACAGCTGTTTGTATAAAAAACCTGACGAATATTAATGGTCTTGTACGATATCACCTGGAATGCCTTGAATCTACCGCACAACAATGGTCTGAGATTCTTCTAATTTTCAGGCGTCAACAGGCTGCTGTGGACGCAATAATAAATGAACAAAACCAAATGGATACTGTGGGAAATCAAAGCTTGCACAAGGCTGGACCCACAACGTTTGGGAAGTCGGTAGGCGGCCGTGACCACAAAGTGCGTTCGAACAAGCCTCTGTACGAATTCCAGCGCTGGTTAAGTGAAGCAAAACACCGTTTGCCCACAGTGTGGAGCCACACTGTCGCCGGCCGTGGAATGACTCTGCAAATTTCACCACCCGTCGGTTCTGAAAGTCAACCCGGTAAAACGAACGACATGCAAGTAAGTCTAGTCGATTTGGGGGTGTGAGTAACTGGTAATTTCAGTGACATAGCCCACGACAACTTATATGAGTACCACCACAGTTGGCTATTGGGAAAAGATGCGTCTCAAGGTCGGACAAAATGAGATAAGATTCATAAATGTATGTTCCATATGAGGTGCGGTGAGTCTACGGTAGGCAACTGCCTGCCCAAAACGTGGTCTAATCTTAAACGGCGTGAAAGACATTGCAACAGGCGCTGTTGCATCAGCAGCGCCAGCAAACGAGATCAGACGACATAGGTTCAGAAATGATGAATACAGCAAGGACTTGGTGCTAGGGTCACGTGTGGGAACCAAAATAGCGATAAATGATAAGCGTATCATAGATATATTTGTAGCTCACTCAGAACGAGGTAAGTGAGGGTGTTTGATATATATCGAAAACAAGAATGGCCCTGTAAACAACACCGGGTGTGATGAGAAGAAAAGAACATTTACGTCCACTGGAGGATGCAACCCCAATGGAGGTAATTTCCGTATGGAAGTTTCATTAAAAAGCCTCAACCAATGCTCCCGAAGTCGTCTGCGTGGTCATCGCACATCAGTCTGACTACTCTATTGTTTCTGTACAGATCTGAAAGGACACAGTGCGTGACATACACCAGTGTTAAACTCTCACTGTATTCACAGAATTAGTTGAGAAGTTTTCACTTGGTCAGAGGTGCCTGCAATGGGTCACCATTCGTGGGAACCTTTTCGAGAAAGAGGAGTTATTCAAACTAACCGACAGTAATCACCGACCTGTGAACATGTCAAAGTTAAGTTGGCAGACAGAGTGAAAGGGGGACAAAATTCTTTAAAACAGCCACAGCATTTATCAAACTGAAAGTTTCTTTCGAGAAATACACTCATTTGCAAATCAATTTGGTTCTCACAAGAGACTCAACGGAATCTCTCATTTATGATATTCTACAACTGAATGTGCTGCACTCAGGCCGCCTCATGATTCAGTTGGCATGATATTCGAGATACCGCAGTATGTTTTCATAAAAGAAACTACTCACAAGGTTACTGAAATCTCTTCGATAGCCCACGACCGGTTTCGCACATCTTGGGGCTCATCAGGAAGGCGCAGTCCCCGAGTTTCGTCAACCTTATGTTCTACATGAACCTAAAATGGACTGTGTGGCTGTCGGCGAAATGAACGTCGCGAGCGTTTCTGAAAGAAGCTTGAGTAGACGGGCTTGGGAACTCCTTACTGAAGTCCTCGGTGTCAAAGCTCGTGCCGGACGTCTTATCACACTGCTGCTCTAGGATGGTATACTAGAGCAACCTTTGCTTCGCAAAAGTGCAGGCGGTTTAATCTCGAGTTTGGGGCTCATCGGAAGGCGCAGTCCCCGAGTTTCGTCAACCTTATGTTCTACATGAACCTAAAATGGACTGTGTGGCTGTCGGCGAAATGAACGTCGCGAGCGTTTCTGAAAGAAGCTTGAGTAGACGGGCTTGGGAACTCCTTACTGAAGTCCTCGGTGTCAAAGCTCGTGCCGGACGTCTTATCACACTGCTGCTCTAGGATGGTATACTAGAGCAACCTTTGCTTCGCAAAAGTGCAGGCGGTTTAATCTCGAGTTTAGTGAGCCTTGGCATGTATCCAAATTCGACGCACTGTCTAGCTTTGCAGAATCGTTCTCGTATTTACCAGAACCGAACTACTCTTCATGTACGTCATGCAAACCGGTGGGTAGCTTCTATTTCGAACCAACTTTGAAGCGCAGCACACATTTTCCCAATAAACTTCAGGATTCAGAACTGTGATTCAGTGATGCTGGTTAGTTATCTTTGTGATGAAAGGATATGTGGGTCATTTGAAAAATATCGACTCCAGAGCGAAAATAAATGTGAAAATGAATCAGGTTGTGCAAGGTAAACGAACTCAAGAAAGGGATATCAAGTATGCTGAAATGGTGAAAAGCCAAGAAGTGGAATTAAGTATGTGGGGGGTTATTAGTATATACTTTAATTTTCATTGCCTTCTTGTTTGGTACCACTCAACTCAACGGACTACGTGGCTTGATGAAACCTATTTGTACATCACATGGGGTTCAGCCAGTCTACTGACTACTTCGTGTAGGCTTGCATAGCCTGATGTAACACGTAATCATGTACCAAAATATCATTCCTAAAGCTATCTTATTACTTTCCTTAATTCCGTAGATGAACAACCAAGCTTCAACTGCTTCTATGGCCCAAGCTCTGAGCAGTATTCAACCCGGTGGATCCCACCAGCTTTCAGTTCTCCCGACAGTTCAACCCGGTCGAATCGCTCGTTCCTCAAGCGAAGCTTGTGCTCGTCAACTTAGTGAACTTCATCGAATTCGACTTGGCGACGCGTCGAACTACGTGATAAACAGTAAACCACCGGCCATCATTTACCCTGACATACCTATCGGTCTGGGAGCTGGGAAGAATAATAGTGGAAGTATGACACAGGTCAACACCTGCAACATCACTCCAGCGATTCACCTGTACCCACCAAGTCCAACACAAACTCCATTCAGTCAACACTCACCTTCGCCTCCAAGTGACAGCACGGTTCCAGATCCACCATGGCCAAGTAAGGTCGGCGTAGATGAGAATCGACCTTGTGGGACTGCTGCGTCCTCAAAGTCAAGACGAGAACTTCACTCACCGCAGGACCGATTTCCAGCAAAATCTCAGACACTCCAGCACGCTGAAATGAGTAGCTTGAGCACCCCACCAGAAAAGGAGCACAGCGACGGACAACTTATGTCTTCAGCCAGTTCGCTTCAGAGATCTTCACCGCTACAAAGGCAAGGAGCCTTCCGCGCCTCACCGGGGTGGCGACTGTTTCCGTGTCCGCTCAAACTAAATGACGCTCACCGTTTAGCCGTCACTCCACCAAGACAGTGCCCCGAAAAACTAGTGGACGGATCGGAGCAAGTCTTTGGCCGATACAGAATACCAACTGGCATAGAATCAAAAGGGAGTTCATCGCCATCTCAACAGTTTGATTCCGTGCAGAATTCAGGCGCCGGACCTGTGTTCAAAAGGTCAGCGCTAGACCACATTTGGCCCAAAAATGATCTTGAGAAGGTAGCGCATGAGAGCGACTCACCCACAAATGGACACAGTTCAGCCCCACCAACAACACCCAGCGAGCGACTGCATTTTGTTTGGGATGACCTCTGCCTCCCGAGCAATTCAAGTCAAGTGATTAAGCAAGGAGTAGATCAGCTTAATGCAGCCATTTCCGAATGGGACCGTTCAGCGAGACCGAGTGCGGGCATTAATCTATCTCACTTTTTGGCGACCCAACCAACAGATGTGATGAGACCGGATGTGACGACTGAGAGCAGGAGTACACAGGAAACCCCGCTGGGAGTTTTATCCTCACAGAACATAGAGGACCAAGCCCTCGATGAATCCCATCACACCCTGGATTCTGTGCAACCTCTTAGCAGTGTACTCACTACTTCGAGTTCGTCTGAACAGAGTAGTTCACAGCGACCCCCATCAAACGGACCACTGCATTTGCTGACACATTCAGATATTCATCAACTTTTAAGTCTCACTAATATTAAGGTGAGCCTAGATCTGATGATGGTTCTGATCATTTGTGATTGGATGTGTGTTGTGTACATGTAAAACTTGTTGCGACTGGCAGTGAGGTGTGTGTGCTAAGCTAGTTGATACAAGATTCAGAGACAATGCCAGAACTACTCGCCATCCCTTCATACGTATCATAGCTAGCAGTTACACAAGCAAAAGAAACTGCCTGAAGGCAGCTCTGCTCATGTTTAGCTATCAGATTCTATGGTATCCCGAAACCTTTTACCAATCAACCAGCGTTTTATGAATGTCATAAACAACTTTACCCGGGGCTGAACTTTGTTTTCATGCCAAAGAAAAAGCGCACCTTGGATGGAATCGTGTACTCGATGTTGGTCGACGCCCATAGACATACGTTGGCTAATGCACACTGGAAACTTCACACAGTCATCTGATCCGAATGGCGAACGAGGGATCAATGCTTTATGTATAAACTTTGCACTAATAGAAAATCTGCAATTAGCTAGGAGTTATCAGCTAGATCATTAAACCGGCGCAGTGCAGGGGGTCTCATGGGTTTATAGAGGAATTGAGGTCCCCAATTTCTGGGCCTCAACTACCTAGACAGTTTGCTTCATTCGATGTTTAGATCATCTGGCGCTTACTAACCTGATTCAGAATTTGCCTTTCCACTGGTTTCGGAATGGACAGGGCGCCGCACTAATAGCGCAACACCACACCAGCCCACCTATCGATCCGGATGTCCAATCGACCTCGGGATATTCGGAGGTCTCACACGGAACCAGTTATCCTGACAGCGCGTTGACTTTACTTTACTTTACTTTACACCACAGCCCAGCTGCCAGTCGACTCGGCTCAGTCACTGGATTGCACACAAACGCAAACCTGGGAAGGGAATTACGTGGATCATTTTGCACCGAACGCGCGTACTTGAGTGTTTTGGTAGACGGAACGCACGGATTGGGTGTTCTGGTAGGGGACTGAAGTGCTCTGATTTGTTAGATGTCCCATCGTGAGGCACGTGATCGTACGCACTAGTGGATTAGTGGAAATTATGGGTCTATCTACAATCGTCTTACGGTCATCGCCATTTGACGACGTCATTACAAGGGCACGTCCAGGCTGACTGCAATTTCCAGTTGTTTCCACAGCCGGCGATGGCAAGTCGCCGTTGCTTCAGCAAGGACAAAAGGCGCTCAGTATTCACACGATGAAAATGAATTTTCGAAAGCTATGACGTGTCCATGATGGACTGAAACAGTCAGACAATTGAGTTAAGAATACCAGTTCAAACTTTTGAACCCATCTAGGCATCCCGGGGTGCCAGTGATGCTAGCAAAGTAAAGCAAACAATATTAAATAATCTAAATAATTCTGCCTCGCGGTTCGGCGTGCGCTTCACACCTGCAAAGTGTAAAGTGCTACTGCGAGAGTGGGTGGGCTCGAACCCTAGCCTCGTGCTTGCGGATGAACCGATTGAGGTAGTAGATAAATTTGTTTACCTGGGCAGCTGTATCAGTTCCAGTGGTCTCAAGAAAGATGAAATTTCCATCCGGATTGGGAAGGCCAGAGCAGCTTTTGCGAACCTACGTCACCTGTGGCGTAGGCGTGACATCAGCCTCTCTGTCAAGGGTCGAGTTTACAATGCTGCGGTTCGCTCCATATTACTATATGGATCAGAAACCTGGCCGCTGCGCCCCGAGGATGTCAAAAGACTTTCAGTGTTTGACCATCGATGTCTTCGGAGCATTGCCCGAATCTGGTGGGAACACCGGATCAGCAATTCTGAAGTACGTCGAATGGTATTCGGGAGAAATAACTCACCCTCGATAGATGAACTGATCACACTGCACAGGTTGCGCTGGCTTGGCCANAAACCACAAAAAAGCATCATTGTTTTTTGTTTGTGGCTGGATTGAACTTGTTGTGGTTGTCACTTGGCTAGCGATACCAAGTCAGATGGCTAACAGTCAAATGGCCCAGTGACGTTTGCTTGTGCAGTGGGAAGGGATTGGGGAGGGACATCGGTGGACGCCCCCCCAATTGACAGCCCACTGTACCTATCCCCCCCCCAAACATCGGTGAACGAAACTGCGGCAGCTACAACCACTGTACGACGAGTACGCGGTTATTACAGCTGACAATGATGATGATGATGACCAGTGGTATGATTACTTTAGTGGAGAATGAAATTTGGTGACCTGTGAAAATGTAAACGCAGATTAGAAAAGTTTTTTGATTTGAGCATATGCACAACAAAATGCAACCTCTTGGCGCCAAAAGGTTTTGCAGCTAGGAGCACCGTGCGGCCAAGGTGCCTAAAGACAAAAAGACGGCTGTTCTGACTGTTGTTTCCTTTCGTTTATTAAACAATTCTCATCGTCTGTTCGCTAGGGTAGTACGATTGGCATCGAAGCTTGCAGATAAATTTCGGCCTTCCAGATGCTGCCAGCAATCTGAAGGCCAAAAGAAAAGTCGAAATTCTATTAAACGTCAGTTATTTCATGGACTGGGTGGAGGAGGGGACTGTAAATCAATAACTTTGTATCCCCTAAAATAACTAGGTTTAGGGGAACTCGGTAGAACGCAACTCATTAGTTTCCTAAAGTGGTATTTCGGCACTTTCGGAGTTTTTCCTAGTTCGCTTGACTGAATCCTTGCACAAGATGACTTTTTTTCTCTGTAGGAAACAGAGTTGGCTCACCGACTGCTTGCCGAATATCGCCTGGCTCTGTTGCAACAACAAACTCTTCACACAAACAGCGTGAGCACACCAAATCTTACAGCTAGTCAAGAACTACAAATGTTTTCATCGTCAACGGCTGCGGAGGAAATCGAAGAAGTAGAGGAGACTTGCGAACAGACGATGCCCGCGGCTGAATCAGAGGAAAGGAAAATTAAGCAAAGGTAAACCTCTATTATTTCACCAATTATCCATACACCCCCTTTCACCAATTTCCATACACCCCCTCTTAGTACAACGCATATTTTGGTATACAGCCGTAACCTGCATTAAGTTTAAGTTCCAATCGAACATTGAGCCTACCCACTATAAGAGACTTTAGTTGTTTTCAACTCGAATACTGGATCACCGTACCGGTGCTTTGGTTGTTTTGGGGACGTGCTGGTGTTATTCAATCTATCATTCCACCTACCAGGAAAAAAACAGACTCTCTTTTCACTTAAGACCCCATCTGTTACCTAAATTACGCCAGAGGCTGAAGAATGTCGAACAACCGTAGCATACACTAATTTCATTGGTTTGGGATGGCGGCAGTATGCACAAGAGACATGGTGGTGAGCTTTAATGCAGCAGCAACAAGTAACATCCCTTACTCCATCCCGTGATAGAACTGGCTTACGTTCAGCTGCAGAAAAGTGAGAATAACTGAAAAGCTTGCTACATGACGTGGGAATCGTTTGACCCAGTTGCTCAACGGCCCAACGGCCGTCGTATAAGATTTCGGTGCCCATACAGGCCGGTTGTGTACTACTATAAATACAGATCTATCAGCCAGCTTCATCTCTCCTTTTAATTATTTTAGCCATAGACTACGTGTTGATCTGATGAATAGATTCATCGTTCTGTGTTCCTGATGGTACTATGAAGGTGTTTGTTTAATCTACGACAATGCCATTATCTAAACTAAAGTCGGGCACTGAGCATATGAACAGCGTTCGTTGTGGGAGCGTTTCATTACCCGTAGAGGTGCTTATAACCTTTTAGGGTGTTCCGCACAAGATATGTGTTTGGGGACTGGTCCTATCAGTTGATTATATTTTTCATTGACATGTGGAAGTTAAATAAAAAAATATTTATGCAGAATAATTGAACTGTGTTTTTTAACACAGTGTTGAGTGGCTGTAATTCAAGATGAGTCTGTCATTTTTGAAATAGACGTTATAGTTACCCTCCTCTTCAGACCATTGTTAACCAGATGGGACAACTTGTGGTCACTTCATTCAGATAGCCGCCCCATGAAGGAAGGAATATAAACAAATTGGTCAGCCTTTCATTGCCCGCGTTGCGTGAGACTAGAGTACTTTGAGATCGGGTAAACTTTTTTCAGTTGAAGTTAAGTAGAAACCTCAGGGGAGGAGTACGTATGTGTAATGACGATCGATATTACCATGAGCTAATTATGCCCCCATGACGGAGTTTCTGTTCTTTTATAATAAGTCCATCTACGTTAATTTACTCGCACCTACAGACATCATAAATCGTCGAAGAAATCGTCCAAGCAAGCAGTCAATCACGAAGAGGATACACAGCCACACTTGCCCCAACACAGACAGAAACGTCATCATCATTCTCACCGTCGCCAGTCCTCACGCAGATCAACGTCCAAGATACATGGGGATGACGTTGGTGTTAGTGATGGGAATCATGAACGCAGTTTAACCACAAACAAGCAACCAGAACATACTCTCGTGGATTCTCCCGATTACGTGAATGCGGCTGCATTTAGGAATGAGCAGAGAGGCTGCACTGACCGTCCGGTAAGTGACTGTTCGGCTATGGTAATTGCTTGCAGTAGTCATACCAGACCACGAGCTGGGTTAGAATATTGCTTTTTAACCCAGTGGAATCGTCTCCATCTTCTGACAGTGAGGGATATGGACTTTAAAATATGTGCAAGAACTGCAGCGCGACAACTAACAAAAGAGCGACGATAACCTTTTCGGGGACTGTGACCGCCTGACGCATCTGTGAGCTGTCAGCAAGTTTCAGTCAGTATAGCAAGTCAGCTACTTAGATATCTTGCAGATCGATCCAAGTGAACCCCGAATAGCTTTTTCATCCATATTTGGTTGAACGTCGCAAACAAGATTCCTTTTGGAGTCTCATGTTATCATCACTTTTGTTTTCCGCACCGATATTTCCTGTTTCCAGCTCGTAAACTAGTCACGTGTTTTATTTAGGAAATACTACTCATAAGGTTGCTGAAAACACTTTGACAACCCATGACCGGTTTCCCATCAGGTAGGTGCGGTTTTCGTTAATCTCATGTTCTTTCTGAACCCACATTGGACACAATTAACGATAAGGTTGCGAAAACACTTTGACAACCCATGACCGGTTTCCCATCAGGTAGGTGCGGTTTTCGTTAATCTCATGTTCTTTCTGAACCCACATTGGACACAATTAACGAAAGTAACTTGATTTGAACCTGATACCCAGCTGAATCTTAGTGGAATCTCCCGCTTTTGATGTTCCCCAAGTGAATTTATTGCACAATGGTCGCCCTATGTTTCCGTTGGTAATATTCGAAATAGTGCAGTACATTCTTCCGAAAGCCCACCAACGGCTTCGCCCTTATTAGGGCCCATTAGGTGAGCAAGTCTCTGGATGTAGGACTGATGGAAACTTGGGGACGACGCCTATCTGATGATGAAACCGGTAATCAGCCGTCGACGTGCTTTGTCAGAAACACTGTTTGTCGTTAGGGTTTGATTTTTACTCTACCTTGCATTCAGGTAACTCATAAACCCTATCCATAGGGCGAATGTGGGCTGGCCATCGTTCCGGTTGACAAACGTCAGTTGTTTGTTAGTTGGCTGAACCCGGTCGGCCTCTCCTATAGCCCGATTCCATGGAACAGACCAGTTGTCGATCCGATGTTGGCACTTTCGATGTGGTATTCGAACTGCCCCTATGCACTTAGTTGGTACTGCAAATTGCAGCTTCGGGCTTGGATTCAAGAATATTGTAATCTGGCATTTGGCTATCCAAGTATAGCCTTTAGGAATTCACAGCAAGCACCAATAACCATCTGAAGCCTGTAGGGACAACTGAAGACAAGTTCGCTGAGTTTGTGTCCGTACGTACTTGAGGCCGTTTCTCAAATACTGCGAAAATCTGTTTTAAGACCGAGTGAATTAAATCGAATTAAGGATCCTTGATAGTATGAGAAAATTTCGTAATTTCATTCGAGATTCTATCCTTTAATTGAATCCGAGTAATACCGAAAGGATGAAAACACTGCACAAAAGCTTCATCTTTGCCTGAAATTGTCCGCCACGAGCATCCCATGAAGATCTAGAGGAGTTTGAATTAGTGGTCCTCTAGTTAGAATGGTATAAATCATTTGTTCTGAAGATGGGAAACATCAACAAGTTAAATGAGCTTTTAATCTGGAAAGCCAAGAATCGCGCGGTCGCGTGATCTGAGTAGCGTGATCTGCTGATAATTGGTCCCAAATTCCTACCTAGGCACGAGTTGATCAGTTACTCGTGATTGTCGTGGTGCGCAACTGCCGTTGCGTAGTCGCAACTTTGGAGTATAACATCCCCGAATGTCTGATGTGCCCTACCTTACCAACAGTCCTACTTACCAGCTCTTTGCTTGTCCAATCGCTTACTCAATCGACCAGTCGTACAGGCTGTAGTTTTCAGGCCGAAAAATGACACTTAGCTTAGATAAGCAGACTCTTACCTTTCTTTGGAGTACTCTATTAGTGCACCGCTGTTGATGATGTCCATAATGCAAATCAGGAGGTATGTGCACTAATAAAAGTGTTTAGTATGGTTGACAGTGGTGGGTTGCAACGCGTATAAAAATAAATACAATGCGAAATGGGAGCAAGTCAAAAAAGGAACTTATCGTATGTGAGAATCCCTTGGTGAAAGTGCGGACGGTGGGAACGTGTTTCATACACGTGTTCCATAAATGTCCGTGAACGTGTGGAGAGCGGTTGACTTTTTGCTCCCTGCGCGTGAGCGAATATGTGTGCTGACTGTGTTCGGTTTCCCAATATGAGGGTCCGTTTGTGCGTGCGTGAGCGCGTCACAACATGGGTAGTTGCTACGCCCATTAGACGGTACCGACAATCGATGTCCGATAAGTCACCTCAATGTGAGGTGATTTGCGAGTATGAAAAAAGACAAGTCTCGTGATCCAGTGAGCGACTGTGAGCTGAAAAGCCAGGTATGTGGGTGACCAGGTAGCTACAACTCCTCCTCTGGAATGGCCCATCTTAAGTTTTGGACTATACTGTTTCGTTCTTCCCATGGAAGAACTCTTCAGGGTTGTTCCTCCGGAAAGTAGCGGTCAGTGTACTCTTGTGGAGTGCTATTTAAAGTCGCCAATGTTCTACAGACAGGATTATCTTATGTTGACTAAAAATAACATATTTCATTATTTCGCGTTCTCAGCTCAGTCTGGCAAGTTCCACAGATATGGAGTCAAATGGCACATTCCGCGTGCTGTCAAGCATGGATACACGAACCAGTAGTGGAGCTGGATGTTCAGTGGGCAATTTGTCCGGACCAGGATTAAGTTTTTGCAGTATGGAAGGTGCGAATGTCTCGATCGATGGCAGTAATTCCAACACGAATGTCATGCTGGATGCGTTTATTCCCTCCAACTTGATATGGGACCCAATGGCACAGCGAAAACTCGACTTGGTCCGCTCGAGTAACGGTGGTCGAATAATTGGCCCGGTTCCGGAAGTGAATGAGTCCATCACTCAACAAACGACTGACTGGGTTGGCCGCTCTCCTCCAGACCTGTGTATGGAGATTATGCAAGCAGGGCTGCATCATTCTCGGCCAGACAACCAGTCCCAACTGAGTCCAGTGTCCAATGACCTTCCATTTTATGCTCCAAGATCCAGGGGCTCCAAACGATCTAGCCCAGGGGAGTATGAGAACCTAGAGAATTTATCCGAGAAGAATTTGGAGTTTTTACGACTTGGTCAAACAGCACAGGTAGTTCCTTTATCCCTCTGATCTTATCAACACTTAGTCTTGAATGAATATGAGATTTCGCCAACAGTTTTTTTGTTTGTTTTGTTCAACCATGTAGCCTGATCACTTGATTTAACTGATTTTTTGTGTCAAGAAAGCTGAAGGTGTAATAACCACCAGTGTTGAACCCGAAATCCGACGAACGGTGGGATGATTGACGCTTGTGAACTACCGATCTGAGTCGCACAGGTTGAATATATTGAGGGTGGGGCCCGCTGAGGTTGGTGCAGACATGCTGAACAATGGTCAACCAATGCCCGATCAATACATGAACCAATCACATCATTGGTCAGTTCACGGGCTGATGTGATGAGTGTGCTGTACATCTGCCCTGTTCTGCGTCGGCGCCTGACACACCACCTTAACCGCGCAACTAACCGCTGCGTCCGTTCGGGTCGTGAAGTTGAGCATGTAGACTGCTTCATAAGCCGTGCGTGCGACTGGGACAGACTCTGTGACTAGATCTGTCTCTCTTTTTGTGTTAATGTATAAATATAGAAGGTAGCGTGAGATACAAGATCGTTCGTATACGCCGATGTGACAGTCTGCAATGGCCAATGAGTTCCTACGAAAACTGAGCGACTTGTACCAATCAAAGACTATTAATTGTGACCATCCAAAATTTGGTTTTATCAGATGACATGTAACTCAGATGTTACTGACTGAATCTGAGGAAACCTGACGAGTGAGTTGAGCGATTTCAGCATTCTCAACCACTTAATTGCATACTCTGTTGGTTGTAAGATCGAAGTAGAGCTTTCCCACGTCAGAAGCTTGTTCTGTGCACATAGATAATCCAAAATTCTTAGCTCACACAAATACTTGCCCCCGTTGGAGTCTGCCGACCGTACATATGTCCCTCTTAAATCCAAACCCTGAGGAAAACTAATTCTGATTTGTACATAGCGTGAACTTCCTTCAGTGTAGCATCTTACATCTTACGGAACTTTTTAACTGCATATACTAAGGCTAGAATTTCCCGTTCCGATTCTGCAGTAGTTCCTTTCCGCTGATGTCAGTGTGCATGAGAGAATACGGTCTGACGGTCTATGTCGATATCGCAGTCAGAAGCATCCCCAGGAACGAATATAAATAGTTTTGGATACGGAGGCTGTTAGGTTATGGTTATCTTCTCAGAGTATGGTGTATTAATGCACAGATGATAATAGCCAAAGTATAATTCAGAAGGTATCATAGTTGAGAGTGGTGAGACGCAACACGTATAAAAATAAATGCAAAGCGGAATGTGGAGCAAGTCAATTGAGGAACTTATCGTTTGTGAAAGTCCCCTGGTGAGAATCCGGAAGACGGAAACGTATTTTTTCCTCAGATATAGCTGCCACACCTATTCCTTTCTTGTCCGTGGACTTGTGGAGTTTGGCTGACTCCTTGCTCCGTGCGTGCGCGCGAGTCTGTGTGTCGACTGTGTTGTGTGTATAGAGTGTTCGTCTTCTTTTGTCACAGTACATCAGTGACAGGTCCAAGTTATTTTAAACCATCTTGCAGAAGTTCACATTTATCAGTTCGAAATTTTGAATCCACATACCTGAATGAGCTAGAGTATTCTGTGCAAATGGTCAGTGTGGTGTTCAGCTGAGGGACTGACAATGGTAAAGTCACCCACTGTGACCATGGCATACGGAAGATCACACTTTGGTATTATCTGCCAAACGATACCTGACGTACACTTTACAATAAAGTTTAGTCTATTAGATTGGTGTAACCTGTGGCACTAGTTGCTAAGGCGTAAGTCTTTACGTTTGTCTTACAGTTCTACTTGGAGGCAAGCGTCAGAAAGGTTAATTTTCGGAAATGAGTCCTATTCTCATCCGTATCCCCATCAGATTTAATGTGGAACGCATTTGAAATGGGTTTCTGCTAGCCCAATGTAATGTTCACATACTTTATTTGTGCAATCCTTTGTTTTAGCCGTTTGAAATTATCCGAGTTAGGCCAACAATTGAAATTATGCGCTCACAGTCCATCCGAGGTCAGTTGTCTGAACGCTCAACCGGCGCGATCCGTTGACCAAAGCACACACACCTACGCACGTTCCGTGCAAGGCATCGCGTTCTAATCCCTACCCTCGTCTTGGTGTGTGTGACCATGCGTTTGCTTGGCTGACCTTGTAAAGGGTATAATCGGGGCTTAACGCAAGTGTCAGGGTGACTTACAAGCTGATTGGGTAAGCACATCAGGACGACCCATAGGTGGAACAGTGCATCGCGTGACAAGGGTTAATCCCATCATTTCATGCTCAAGTCAGTGTCACAATTTCCAGTCGGTTAGTTGACACAGAATCGGCTTTCAGGTCAGTGCCATCTGTATACCGTAGCCTCGTAATGTCCCAATATCTACCAAAAGTTGACGGGGGTCACGCAGATAGAGAGCCTTATGAAAAGGATTTGTCTAACCTTAAGGTGTGGAGTATGGAAGAAAGAACACTCCCGGAGGTGGTCAAATTTTGAACCATCGTCCGTAACTTTATGTCGCTCTTTTGGTCGGTTTTCGAACGTATAAGGCAGTGATATACAATTGCGTTGACATGATAACCAATTGCATATGTGAACCAGTCGACTGGAAATCGGGTGATCAGCATCAACAGAAACCACTTTACACCGATTACAGCCGTTGAAATGAACTCCTGTCGGGCATAGTTCCCTTGCATTCATTGAGTTAGCTCATTCACTACCTGGAGGACTGTATGCTTTCTTAGATACACTAGGCTCCACATATCCACGCACTGTATTACTTGCGCTATAAACTTACTCGCCCCCGACTACTATACAAGACGTATAACACTTCACACCTTAACCTCAGATAAGCACCTAAGCTGGGACGCCCAGTACGTTAGAAGTGAATTTACCGCTCGTCACGAGCGATTGAGTCCGATTCGCAGACATTCGTTTAGAGGTGAGGTGAAACATGTTTATGATTGCTGTTTCAGTGCACCCCAGCCACCTATGTTCCGCAACATTCCAATGTGTGCTTATCTCGAACAGAAGGGTTAACTTGGAGAATGAAATACACTGATGGACAGACCACCAGCTGTTCTTATGAAATTACTCACTTCATGCAGTAAAAATGACGCTCGATAACATGTTGCGCCATATCACGACACTGTTGCTCCTCTACTATACAGGGCCTGTTTGCGTAGGCCGTACGTTACGGATACTCCCTCAGAAAGAATCTATTTGGCTGGGTTCTTGTGTTCTGGTTGGCTACCTAATCAACCAATGCGCCGATTTTCCCGAACTGCTGACGAAAATGTTGAGAAACTGTCTCGGATGTAAGATCGAATGAATATTGTTCACTGAGTGGTGCTCAAACGAAGAGTTTTGTGCTGTGTTGGACACGACAAGCCCTGTATTGATACGCAGTAGACCTAATCCAAAACAAGCTTAGATGAGTTGGCGTGTAAGTTAAGCACCGCTTCGGTCATGTACACAACTGCACGATCTATAAACCATTTAAAAAAACCAGGTTGGTTTTCATGATCACCAATTGCTGGATAATATAACTGGAGTTCACCAAATTGACCGTGTAATCCGATAACTCATCCTTCGCACCCCCTCAATCGATCCCACAGTCAGCCACTTGATCACGTGAACACACACTAGAACGAGGGTAAAGATTGGCATGAGTTAGTTGACACGCACTGCGCGTGCGGTTATTCCGATCAACGGAACGCGTTGATTGGATACTCAGACAACCGAGCGGAATGGCCGGGTTTTGCAGAAGCACACTTTGTAGAAACTGAAGGCCTGCTTCCAGGCCTACATTACATAAGTCCGCCCGAGAATGTATGGTAGACGACGTTGGATGGACGGTTGTCAGATGTACAGACAGCGCCTGTTCTGCGCGTTAGCCTGAAATTGTCATCGTGGGCGAGGCACCTTTCATACCATATTCAGTGGGATCCCTTCGAGATTCGTTCTCTCGTTGGAGTTTGTGATGTGTTCTCCTCTAGGTGTTGGGACTCGGTCGGTTGCCCGTGTCACTTCTGTTCAAGGCTTTCTCACTTCAGAGTTACTACTAACTTGTTGAGTATGTGTGAGGACTATGTTCTGTGATCTACCCTTAGGCCCCGATGTGTTGCACGCAGCAGCTTCGTCACACCTTCAAAGCAAGCATCGTTTTTTGCTGTCTTGCTTTTGTCATTGTCACTTGAGGTTTTACACAAAAGACACCTCTTTTTCTGTTCTCCATGCCCGTGGTGGTTCACAACAGTATACGCTTATGGTACCACATTACAGGTTCGGGTTGTGCAGCAGGGCAGGAACACAACGGTTAATCTGGCAACCGGGGTGGTTTGTCACATTACCAAAATGGCATGAGAGACACGTTCGCCCATATGTAGGGACTAGTGTTATGTTTGGGTTCAGGGAGTCAATGACCCTATCAGTGGTGTACAATGCATCATAACAGCACACGGTCGTTATAATGTGTCTCATATTCTTTCTCACAATTTAGACAAAGACCGAATCAAGGCCGACCCAAACTAATCAGCCGGCATATGGGTCTAGCTTTGAACTACGAGGAGACATTCAATGTTCAGATTCTGCACATGGGTCGAAGAAGTTCACTCCTGGTACTACAACTCACGGGTCTTTGTCCACTCTGGCTTATTCAACCACTTCCGCACCGCATTCACCCTCATCTTCCTCAAGAGATTCATCTGCCCTCTCATCCTCCTCGTCAACTTCATCGGTCTCTTCTTCTTCAAGGTCCCTGTCTGAGCTGCCTCATACAATGGGACGTGGAACAGATTCGTCTCAAATGCAGAACCGAATGGAGTTAAAAGCAGTTCGTCATTCTCCGGTCCCACATTCCCACAAGCACACAGAACATCGTCATAGTGGCGAACAACATTCGGCTGGTTGTACTTTTCCATGTTCGAATGAAACCGACCTCCAGTTGGTCGCTGCTCAGTGTTGTTCAAAGGCGTACAAAACATCCTCAACCATGTCAAGACTAGCGCATAGGGAGCATCACCAATGTGGCTGTTCTTGTCACGGAAAGTCACCACCGAAAACACTGATTAAGTCAAATTCTTTACGGATGAACAGTCCAAAAACCAATTCTTCCAGAACGGATTTGATGCTGAGCCCCTGTGAACGTGTATTTGCCAGACAGAAGGCTAGGTCGTTCGATCCCTTTTCCAGCACCAGCCTGGCTCGTGCTTCTAATCGATACCGAACACCCGTACAGCTGGTTCCTTACTTGTCCACAAGCCAAACTATTCGAACATGCCGCAAATCAGCCAAAGGTCTTCAAGCGTATCTGCGAGGCTGGCGTCTACGGCGGTCAAAATCTCGTGGCGTACTGGCGAAGTCAGCCGTCACATCAGAGCAAGGTGCACGACTCTCCTATTCTGATGACGACGCAACTGAAATGGATGTATGCTGTTTGTCCGATTCGGAAGGAAATTATCATGGCAACCACACCTCGGCAACACTGTCACCAGCGGAAAGTCCATTACTATCATCAGCCTCATCCTATTCCTTTTCTACATCCTCGTTGGATGTTGCGGCAGAGGAATTTTACGCACTTCATAACCATCATCCCCATTTGAGACCACTTCCACTTCGACGTTCGCATCATCGTATGCATTCACCTTGGTGTGTGAATTCCTACAATAAGGTACAAACACACCGTCCTGAAAGAAATCGCAGGGGAGTGAGTTTAGATCCGTCTGTCTCAAGTGCAAATATAGTAGGTTCATTACCAAAACGTGCCAGTCCGGTATCCCTGATGGTTCGGGGTTCTCACCGCAAAGGAAACTCAGAACAGACCAATCGGGTTCTTCCATCCGTTATTTGTCCCTACAAGCATGTTTATGAGTCGAGAGTTTGTAATGCCTGTGAATCATTCTCAAAGACATCCGTCGCCTGTCGTTTACCACGTCACCACCGACATCATTACAACCAAACCCAACAACCCAACTCAACTAAAGAAAAGGTGACTGGATCTCCCAGGATCCACCAACGAACGAAACAGACACAGAAGTCTGGTTTGAGAAAGGTGACACTTCCAGTGGCTTCTACACAACCCGCTCGCCGTCACCACCATCAGCTGGCGGAAAAATCGAACAAAAGGGAGCAAAGTAGTGTTGGTAAACCACCAGTGGCTAGAAGGACATCGACTGACCCCCCAGAAGGAATACAATCCGATATTAGTTCAGTGACGAGACAGGGAAAAGAAAGCCCAACAAAATGTTCAGTGGTTCAAGACACACCGGTCAAACCCCTCAGACCAAAAGAGTTATCATTCTTTCCTCAAAAACCGATGGAAGACAGACAAGGGAACGGATGCAAAGTAAAAACGGTAGGTTCACCAGTCATAAAAAGGCTTTCCTTTAGAAATTATTGGCGGTCTCAAATACATTAAGGTTTTTCAATGAATCTTGCGTTGTAGACAGAGTTAGGCATGCATAAAACGGGACTTTTCTGGCGCGACGTTATAATACTGCACGAAAGTTTAATGCTTTGGCCGGTGGATACATTTACCCTTGCTCATAGAGCATAGACAACTTCTAGGGCATCGTGGAAACCCGGTCTTACAACGTCAGCAAAATCGGTGGTACTTTTTGATGTATTATACACAACATTCCCTCGAGGGTGGATGGACAAAGTGATTTCATTTCACTCCGCATGAGAATTCCTAACCATTACTCACGCCAGTTCGTGAATTCCTCAACCATTCTCAAATGAATTTCCATTCAGACAATTGCTACACAGTCTGGCTCAGAAAACCACTTTGTTTTGGCAGGATTTATCGTTCGCTCAATGTGTTAGGGATCCGAGATCGCCTCTTCATTTTTACTTATGGCTTGTTCAACTTCACCACACTTTTAAACGCTTTGTTTACAGTCACCAAACGTTACTCTGAAAGCACCCGGTGACGTCAATGATGTGAAAGATTTAAACCAAAAGGAGCATGTGCCAAACCGAACGGACAAACAAAAACCCTCATCGGACTGGAAACACATCGGACAAAAGGCTTCGCCTGCTTCGCCGGACCTGTTAAATCAACCTTCAATGAAACACTCCCCAGGAGAGCGACAAACGTTTGTACCTAGTAGTTATAGCATACCTGCCAATCCTGCGTGTACAACTAGAACATTCCCTTCCTCCGAAATGCATCCAGTGCAACAACGAAATCTGAATCATTTGAAGACGATCGGTCCAATAACCAATGACCGTGGTCTCTACCTTCTTGAAAAGACATCACCAGGTGTTGAAAACAGATCTGCTGGCAAAACAAGCGCTTCCGGGGCACTTGTCTCCAATGTTACATCAAGAACAGTTCAAACATTATACCCATCTCCTTCTCTTTTGTCACCAGTCTCCCCAACGGTCACATGCACAAAATCACTTTCCGGCGATTCAACACACAAACTCACTGGTGACACTACATGTGATACAGGTGGAAAGAACAATGCGCAATCGAAAAGTGTTACCAAGTTCTTTATAAAGCCCTACGCCACAGAGCCAGGATGCGATTCGAAACTTCCACGAAGCGGTTCACTGGAACCGACCGATTTGGGGACTCAACGTCCGTCTGTAAGTCAAGGAGGACAATCGAATTCAAGTAGACCAGGTTGGAGTTCATCACCACGGAGCGGTAGTGGGATCCCAGAGAGCCGATATCACATCAGACCAGTAAGCAGTCTGATTAGCAAGTTCTCACAGAATGCAGTAAGTTCACGGCATTTTTATTCGCTTACACTCATTCGGTCGGATCATATGAATAATGGTCAAAAACCGAACGATGTTTGTAACTCCTGGTCATTTACTTCCGCATATTCCAGCGAAGCATATTGAAGATTGTCGGAAAGACTGTTGATTGAGCCGGTAAAGAAGATACTATATAAAAAATTAAGATATCTGTAATCATTTTAACCGTCTGAGAAAAACCCAATCTCTTCAAATGTTCAAAAACGCTCTGGTGGCGCTTTCTCGCTGCAAACAAAGCTTGGCCCATCGGCTTTCTAAAACTAGCTCATAATGGTACATGTTGGAACTATCGTAATATCTGAAAATGGTGTGTGCATAGTTAACTTTTTCATAGTATGAACGGAAAGGTTGACGGGAAGCAGGCACGTGATGGGCACACTTGTTTTTTATTCCGGTAGGATGTTTCATAGTTGAGGGGTTCAAAGAATTCACAGCTCTTACACTCAGCTAGCCGGTGTTCTGGCAATCATACACCTCTAAAGTTACAATTGCGTGAGTCACACAATGAGAACACCACATCACTTCGACTATAAGGACGGTTTCTCACCCAACTTACCCACCAAGCCAACTTTTGCTTTTAAGTTGTGCGACAAACACCTGTTTGTTACTCGCCAAGCTGAGCGAACCATTGTCTCATATGAAGTGGAAACCTTAGAAAAAAAGTTGTAGTAGGATCCACTTATTAATTCCATCCAACGAACTAGTATACGCTTCTTGGTGCGCCAGTATCACTTTTTCTCAGATCCGGTGTCCCCAGTAATTTGGCCCCAAGTTTCGTAGATATAATCAGAAGCTGATCATATTTGGAGATGTGTTCTACCTAATCGCTCAGATCGACGCCTTCAGGGGTCTTACTGCATGCGCTGCCCATTAAAAAGGGCTACTGTAACTAGAAACAGAGCGTAGGGTATTATCTAAGGTATTTCCCTCACTTCACAACCATCCGTGTTATGAATCGATTTCTAACGTAACCTGTGCGTCGCACTGTACTCGTATCACAGAATACACTTGACATTTTTGAGCACGTTCCAAGATGGAGTGTCGTACTGGTCATTGCATTACAATCAAAATCACTCCATGAAACTCCTACATAAAAGCAAAAGTAACACAATCCAGCTTATGAAGCTTATTAGGTCAAGTGTTTGGTATGCCCGCACAATTCTCTCGCATCGACACATCTGTGCAACCACTCTCTCTTTACTACGACCGCATGGCTGTCTCTGGCACCTGTGGTCCTCAAGACCGATTCCGCTCGGTTTTGGCACCAGTTAAAAGAGGGAAGACTATGAGTGGAGCAATATATTACGGCACGTGTTATGCAATCCATTCGTTTCACCACTTCTTGCTGTCTTGCGTAGAAATGTACGAAGCCTATTGTGAAATGTGTTGTTTCTTCGACTTTGTCTCCGCTGACTGAACTGAAAAATGAAGATTTCCAATGCGTACCACTTAAAGCATGTGTTCACTCATGTTAATAAACAAGACCGACCTTCCAAACTCTCACTTGCTATCAAAGATCATCCTCCGGCTCAAGAACTTATATA